GAATTTTTTTCATACACAAACTTAGCAAATTAAAATCACACAAACCCCTCAAATGACGCTGAATTTCTTCTGAATCGCCATACTTGTAAATAAAAATAATTTTCTCAATCGGATAGAAGTTAACTAGCACGCATACGTGCAGCCTGGAATAAATGGCATCTCCTTGCCTCTATATTGATGCGGCGTGACATCCCACTACCACTACGATCAAGACTTTATAAATCTGTGATACGTCCGGTGTTATTATATGGTGCAGAAACATGGCCAATGACAACCAAACTGGAACAACAACTTCAACGAACCGACATGAAAATGCTCCGATGGATGCAACAAATTAGTCTGAAGGACTACATCAAATCTACCGAAATCCTGCGTCGTGCTGGTTTAGATGATATAAAGGACGAATGCCGGCAACACCGTCTGCGGTGGTTTGGTCCTGTCAAACGAAGTGGAAACAGTGCCATAAGTTCTCCTGCAGATGTTGAAGTACCTGGCACACGTCCCAAAGGCCGTCCAAAAAAGTCCTAGTCGCAAACAATCGAGCAAGACATGAAAGCTCTAAATTTAAATGAAATGGATACAACTGATCGTCTAATTTGGCGTAGAAAGTTGATGGCAAAGAAAACAACGTCCTACCTCGGGAAACCGGGTCTCTGGACGCAAAACGAAGATTGATTGGATAGAAGTTAACTTTTAACCTTTGTGCTATTGTCGTCAAAATTGAGCCGACCATTTTTTTTTGGCTTATCATATCAACTTTTTTGTCAAAAAAAAAACGGTACATTTGCGATGAAAACAAAGCGATTTTCTTACAACGTGGGGTGCACTGGTCTATTTGCTCGAATTCATATAAAATTGCAAGATGTGCATTTGACACTACAATAAATAGTTTAAACTAATTTTTGTTTTTTCATTGAAAATTCTGTATTTTTGTCCATGGTGATTCTAACTATTTGTATCACTGACGAGTTGAAAAAGAAAAAAATGAATAAAAGCAATCGACTGAAACGAAAGACATAAAAAATGTTCAAACTTTTTGAAATGAGAAATTAATTTGGGATATATATTTTTTGGAAGATGTTTTAAATTTTATAAAATTTGTTGATAGAATGTAGGTCTATATCAATGGGACAAGGTCAGGAGATTCATGCAAGAAATTTGTTAAACCTTTTTGTGACTAACGTTAGAAAATTATTGATTTTTTTATTTAAAAAACAAACGAATTTTGATGGAACATAAATATTTTAAAAAGTTTTGAAAAAGTGATTTTGTTTGTCAAAATATTTAGAAAACACAGCGTAAGAATAGATTCTTTTGTATTAGGTATAAAAAACAGCTAATGATAATAATTATGAAAATGTAGGCTTTGTGTTAAATATTCACAGAGTTGGCATATTTGCATTTTTTTTAGCAAAGAGAGTAGAGAGTAAAATTTTGCATCGATAACCTAGAAAATAATAAATTTAAGCAGTTGGGAAGAGATGATGAGAACTGCAAGGCTTAAATGGAAACAAATTAAAGGAAATATACTGAATGAGGTGGCTGTTAATAAAAACGGTCTTATATGGTTTAACAAAACGGTCAGTTTGACAACAAAATGTTTAAAATGGATTTCAAATGTAACTTTGAAAATAATAGAAAATTTAAAAAAAGTTTAAAGCACTAATACAGAATACTAATAATATAAATACAGAATTCAGAAGAATCAACAACACACAGATTTCAGAAGAATCAACAACACAAGCAGCAAATTTAAACACGTGCTAAATGATGCATCACCCACAAAGGCGGAAATCAAATTTTCGTATTTGAAGTCGGTCACTGCGCGCACTGCAAAACAGGACTAGGCGCTTTTAAATGAAGAACAACACTAACAAATAAAAGCGTAAATGAAAAACATAAACAACTATAAAAAAAACTTCTTAAGGTTCTGTGAATACTATTTTAAAATATACAGGTAAAATATGAGACTCAGGATAACTTTTGAAATTTCAAAACAAATAATACGTAAATTGCAAACTTGAAGAACTTATCAGGGAGAAGAGAAACGAAATAACTAAAAAATGGAAAGTTTATTGCAGTGAATTATATATAAAAGGTGAAAAATAAAACGTGGAGAACAACAAGATTCATAAAAAAATATAACTGTACTATTTAAATTAGTATTGAAAAATTTAGCAGTGATATTGGAAATTGGAGAAAATAAGCTGATAAAAATATGCATGTGATATACACAACAATATGAGAAACAGGTAAATAGACAGAAGAGGTGACATATTTTACATGCCAACAAACTTTTGCTAAAAAAAATAATAATGTAAGGGCTTACAAAGAAAGCAGAAGGCGAGATAACAATGAAAAAGAGTGTAGGTTTCACAAAGGAGAGAAACAAGAATACCTATTACTAACCTCGGGATAATTTTACATTGGGCAAAAAGTCACTAACAATCCGTATACATGTATTTATTAGATGTAATAAATAAAATCTACGACAATATCTCATTGAGTTACTTGCTTGACTTGGATTTAATATATATATTTCTCATTTATTATCATCATGTAGTTTTTAATTCATTAATAACTGTTTCCCAACTTAACAACGTCATAATACCACGCTAAATTTTTTTGTCAAATAATTTTTTTACTCATTTAAATAATAAAAATAATGATTTAATTATGAAGGGAGGTTGGGCTCTTTTACAAAATTGTCATCTTGCTCTTGCCTTCATGAATGAACTTTTCGATATGATGGTAAATATGGAATCGTGCCATGAAAATTTCAGGTTGTGGTTAACAACTGAAGTTCATCCATCCTTTCACGTTGGATTATTACAGGTTATTCAAACATAAGAATCTAAATAACATAAACTTTGTACTCAAATAAAATTCAAAGGCACATAAAAGTTTTTCATGTACAATAAACACTCAGATATTTTTTAAATGTAGATAGACTTACATAATTTGTTGTGCTCTTATTTTTTTTTTAAATAATTGCCACTTTTAAAAACATTTAGATGTCAATTAAATACACAAACGAGCCACCTCAAGGCATCAAGGCAGGTCTTAAAAGAACATATATGAGCAATGTTAATCAGGTTCATTTTTATCTTGTCTTTCAAATGTTTTTTATTTCAAAAATTACTTTTGTGTTTTTATTGTTTTTTATTATAAAATGCTTCAATTTATTAAAATTAAAAGAAATGTTCTACTCTCTCACGTTACAATAAATATAAGTTAATATTTAAAGCGTTAATGTGCAAGCAGCTTAAATTACGAAAATAATTAAAAAGGATCTTTTGGAAGCTACAACTCTTCAACAATGGAGACCGATGCTCTACGCAGTTTCATTTTTACACACCGTTGTGCAGGTTTCAATACAAAACTTCTTTCAATTGAAATACGCTTTTTTCTCAATCATAAAGTTTTTTCGATCGCATCTTTCACATATTATAGAAGTCAAGATATTAGTTTAGCGATCTCTTTAATATTTTATAAAAATTTTTGTTTGAAACATTTGAATATTAACCATTTATTTATAATTCTGAATCCTAAGTAGCTACTTTTGAACTCACTCGAATAAAATGATAGAAGAGACTTGTTCGAAACCGTAGAAAAAAAATTTTGTTAAATTATCCTATCATTTGTTCATCGTATAAGCAGCAACGTAGATAATGAGCAATTTTTTAATTTTTTATAGCTCTCAATTTTGGACAATGACGTTGAATTCAATCGAGGATTGCATATTATTGCACATATTTATAAGTTAAAAAACACGATCTTAAAAAAATTACAGAATAAAAAATAAAAATTAAATTCATAAAATTTTCTGAAATCGGAGTTCGGTGTCTTAAAAAATTCTGACTTCAGAAGTTTTGACTCCGGCTCTAGGAAAAATTTCCTACCCCACCGACACTAAAATTGCGACAGCCTAGCTAATGCCACATATTTTTGTACAAAAACCACACATTCAACTCAGAAATACACAGCTCAAAGCTAATAACATCACGCCAAATACATTTACTAATCCGGTAATGAAACTAACATTTAGTATTTGATTTGAAGTTTGCAAAAATCAATGCATTTGGCAAATACTAGGTACACGGGTACAATGTAAGTTAAGTGTCGAGTTAGTTACTGTTTTTTTGTTGTGTATTTTAGAACATGTACTAGTTTTGTGAAAATTAGTTTTTGGCAATTTATTTATGTAAACAAAACATGGTTGCATAAATTAAGATTTTTCGATTTTCTGCACATTCATGATTTGAAGAATTTTCAACTGGGTATTGTCTTCTTCCTAGTTCTTTGAATTTTTTTCTTACAATTGTTTTAACTTGTATAATCATCGTGCTTGTAAATTTTTAAAATCATAGCAATCATTACGAGTCAGAAAATTAATTAATTTTTTTTAATTTTTTATTTATTTTATTACGAATGTTTAAAAAGCGTGACTAATTATTTTTTTGTTTTTCCATTATGACGTTCTGTCAAGCCGAATAATTTTTACAAATCATTTTTTACCTAACCAGTTTCATATCACGACATAGGTTGTATCAATAGCATAGTTTCACGCAATCACGCAAGTATGGTAGTTTTTCTATTTCGGACTAAATGGCAATAAACATTTTATTGCGCATCAAACAACATCACACGAAAGGGCACTGTAACTTGTAAACCGATTTATTTCATTATCTAGATGTTATTTTTTACCATGACAAAATAGCGTCACAAAATTGACAAGGACAAATTTTTAGGAAATAACACAAAAAAAATTATTTCAGTCTAAATTGTTAATTTTAACTAATATTTATATGGTAGTAAAATTTATAATTTGAGGTAAAGTTAGGTAAAGTGCCTGGTACTGATATCTCCGTAACCGGCTCGACTACAAAGAGATCCCAGTCTATCACATGCAATGTGTTTGATGCTTTATTTCACGTCCATTTGCAGGCACTGTGTGTTTCTTGTTTATGCCTAGGAGAATTGTTGAAAAAAGATTTGTAATAATAATAATAATAATATCTGTTAACAATGCCATAAAAAATTATAGCTCTTCGTTATTTTTATCTGAAATTGTTTGTTTCTAAAAGAAGGTTCAGTATTTTTGAGTGTAAATCAAAAGTAAACAACTTACAATTTGAAAATATGTTACCGCTATATTTCGTGAAAAATATTTTTATTAGTTAACCAATTTTTTATGTGTGTGCAATTTTCTCAGTTTATAATCAAGCAGTTGTTGAGATGATTTCTTTATCACATTATCGGTTGCCTGATTGATACTATTTTAATCCAGTTTGATTCTCAATAAAATGATTTTGATTATTTGTTCTTTGTTTAATTAACAGGAAAGGAGAAAATTTGGACCTCTTGGTTGGAACATTCCGTATGAATTTAATTTATCCGACTGGTCAGCCAGTGTGCAGTTCATTCAAAATCATTTGGATGATCTAGATATAAAAAAAGTAGTTTTACTATTCATTACATTATAAATTGTTATAATATATTTATTTATATATTTATATTTGAATGATTACTTCTATAATAAATATATATATATATATATATATATATATATATATATATATATATTATTGAAACATTTATGAAGCGCTAATTAAACGAATCTCAAAAGCGCTATCTAACAAAAACTGAACTTAACATATTTGAAACAACAAACGAAAAATCATAATGCATTGTACAGAATTAAGATTAAAATTTGGTCATAAACAGAAAAGTAATCGATTCAATATAACGAAAATACAAAATAATATGTAGAACATATATATATAAATTATGTGTATATATATATAGAGAGACCACAATTTTTTACGATATTCTATAAATTCTAAGTTCACTTTGACAAAGTGAATATTTCCCTCTATAAATTAAATTGCACTTATGATGATTCATTCGGAATCGAAATATGGCCTTATTTGCAGCATGAATTTGGAAAATAAGTTTATTTTGAATTTTAATAAACTAAACGTTCTCCAAAAAACTTTAGTAAGAAAAATAGAAAAAACGAACTACAAACATATTAACACCAAACATTTGTAAACATTGTTTAATATATACGTATATATATATATAATATATATGTGAATTATATATAATATATATAATTAAAAAATACATATAAAATATCCGCTGCAATAATCAAAATGCTCATTTGCAAATTGTGCTATATAAGTAATGCTGTTTTTATTTGTTAGAATCAGATATCATTGTAGAAAGCAGAATGTTGTAAATTTTTTTTATATGATTAAGTTAGAAAAGATGGATTTGTAGATTATAGAGTGGAGTTGGTGGTTGGATGATCTAGTTGAGCTGGGAATTTTTGGCGATCGTGCGGAATTTATATAAATAAATAAATAAATAAATATATATATATATATATATATATATATATATATATATATATATATATATATATAAGGGATTTAGAATTTCCGACTTGCTCTCGCAAGTACGGTTGGCCAGTACGAGTACATAAAGTACACCATTTCTCACTACGATATATACATACATCTGCTGTCTTCAGGAGACCCGATGGAAATCGAATGGTGTTTGTCATGTCAACTCAGACAAAAAAAAATATAAACCATTCTGGAATGGTTAAAAGACGGCCAGAAATGGTGTTGGAATTTTTGTCAGAGAACTGCTAGCCCAAGAAGTACTGGATTTTAAAAGGATTAATTCACGTCTTATGTGGATCAAGCTTCGCCTAGAAAAGCAAACAATGATTATTTTTTCTGCATACACACCACAGACAGGCGAATCAGAAGAGATGAAAAATGACTTCTGGGCTGCGTTCTCTGACACCATCTCAACAATACCAAAATCTGAAACAATCCTGATTGGAGGCGGTCTCAATGGCCACGTTGGAGAGAAAACAGATGGTTTTGACAACTTACATGGCGGTTTTGGCTATGGAGAACGGATTGAAGATGGCAACCGCATCTTTGAGTTTGCTGAAAGTCACGGGTTTTGTTTATTGAACACATATTTTAGAAAAAGGTTGGAACATTTCCTAACATACAAAAGTGTGCCATTAGCAACAACACCGAAGGCTATTCAAAAATGTCAAAATTATACCTGGCGAATCATGTGTCGCCCAACATAGACTCCTTGTGGTAGACCTGGTTTTTGAAAGTCAAAACATAAGTCTAAACAAAATGTCTCGGAGAATCAAAACGTGGAAGCTGAAAAGCAATATTCATCGATAAAAATTTCAACAAATTGTCGCAACACAGTTAGACCACCAATCGCAAGCCAGTACAGATTGGAGTACATACAAAAGCGTTTTGATGAACGCTGCGACTACAGTTTGTGGGAAAACTGGTACAAAACGTCAGCATGAACGTGACACTTGGTGGTGAAATGACAGTGTACAAAATGCAATAGCTGAAAAGAAAGTTGTATACAAGCAATGGCGAATATCAAAGTCTGTTGATGACCATAAAATTTTCCGTGAGAAGAACAACTATGCAAGACGTAAAGTCGCACTGGCTCAGACAGATCAGTACAGAGAGTGGCTCACTAAAAGCAAAGGTGAACAAATGAAATATTTGTATCGTATAGTAAAACAAGCGAAGCGTACGAAAAAAAATATAGTTGGTACCTCATGTATCAAAAACGACTAAAATGAGATGGTTCTTGAACAAGATGAGATCAAGTTACAGTGGAGAGAATACATCAACCGACTGTTAAATGAAACAAATCCCATCAATGTCAACTTTGACGCTCAATCCATCGAAGATCCGATTCCAGACATCACTGTAAAGGAGCTTACAAAAGCTCTGAAAGTTATGAAGGATGGAAAGGCAGCAGGGCCCTCTGGACTCACAAATGACATTATCAAAGCATCTGCTACTGCAGGTATTTAAACGTTACTATAACTTTGTCGTGAAGTGTGAAGAATGTCGACAATGTCGACTGAATAGAACTACAGCATGAAAGTTCCGCTATACAAAGGCAATGGTGATCTATTGGGGTATACATCTGTTAGAACGCACTCTGAAAATTGTCGAGAAAATCATTGAGAAAAGATCAACGTCGTGCACCACAATCGGAAATTATCAATTTGGTTTCCTAACGGGGAAATCAACAATTGATGCAATTCACATCCTTCGGCAACTAAGATTCTCAAATACTAAGATTCTCGTCAGCACAACGGTTGGAAACACAGATGCATTTGACATCGGCGTTGGAGTTCACCAAGGCTCGATTCTCAGTCAACTGTGTAATTTATAACTATGATGGAAGAAATCACAAAGCCTATATACACTGGTGACATTTGAAATCTAATATATGCTAATAATATCGTTTTAACAGCCACGTCTGAGCAGAATGCAGTCCAGATGTTTGAAGATTGGAACACCAGACTGGCCGATCATGGATTCAAATTCAACATCAGCAAAACCAAAGCAATAAACACTGGTGAACCCATCCAATCCACAGCTACTGGACGATGGCCCTGTTCAGTTTGTAAAGCTGGTGTAGGTAACAATTCAATCAAGTGTCAGCAGTGTAACCAGTGGTGTCACAAACGTCGTTCAAAAATAATTGGTAATTTATCTAAAGTGTCCAATTTTGTTTGTCTTGCTTGCATCAATCCGCAACAACAAATTCGAAATAGCACTGTTTTTGAAGCCATTAAGGTAGAGAAAGTCACATCGTTTCAATATCTAGAGAATGTTCTAGATTGTAATGGAACGGCTGAAGCTGCCGTTCGAGCACGCATACGTGCAGCCTGGAATAAATGGCATCTCCTTGCTTCTGTATTGATGCGGCATGACATCCCACTACCACTAAGACTTTATAAATCAGTGATACGTCCGGTGTTGTTATATGGTGCAAAAACATGGCCAATGACAACCAGACTGGAACAACAACTTCAGAACCGATATGAAAATGCTCCGATGGATGCAACGGATTAGTCTGAAGGACCATATCAAATCTACCGAAATCCTGTGTCGTGCTGGTTTAGATGAGATAAACGACGAATGCCGGCAACACCGTCTGCGGTTGTTTGGTCCTGTCAAACGAAGTGAAAACAGTGCCATAACTTTTCTTGCAGATGTTGAAGTACCTGGCACACGTCCAAAAGGCCGTCTAAAGATGTCCTGGTCGCAAACAATCGAGCAAGACATGGAAGCTCTATATTTAAATGAAATGGATACAACTGATCGTTTAATTTGGCGCAAAAAGTTTATGGCAAATAAAACAACGTCCTATCTCGGAAAATGGGTCTCTGGACGCTAAACGAAGATTGATTGATGTATATATATGCATATATATATATATATATATATATATATATATATATTTATATATACCTGACAAAATATATATATATATAATATATATATATATAATATATATTATATATATAATATATATTATATATATATATTATATATATATAATATATATATATATATATAATATATATATATATATATATATATAATATAGTATATATATATATATATATATATTAAAACAAATTTTTTTTTGTTCTAGGGTGTTTCTTGGGTAACTGTAAGATATATGCTAAGTGAAATTCAATACGGAGGCAGAGTTACAGACGATTATGACAAAAGGCTTTTAAATACTTTTACAAAAGTATGGTGATTGATAATTCATAGCATTAACAAATTTAACAAGTTGTTTTTTGTCAGGTATGGTTTTCGGAGAGCATGTTCCAAGATTCATTTCAATTTTATAAAGGTTACCAAATTCCTGGCAAGCTGAAAAAATTAGAAGATGTTCGCAATTACATTAATAACAATCTATCGTCTGTTGATCCCCCAGAAGCTTTTGGACTTCATGCTAATGCAGGAATAACGTAACAATTTTGTGCTTTTAATTTTGAAT